TATTTCAAAAGACAAAGTTAGCATTGAAATGCTAAATTTGTCTTAACTGGCAGATTTCTCCAAGAACAGGGTGGGAACTCTCTCTCTGCTCTGGTTTACAAGTATCTTGGACAACATTTGTCTCTTATGAAGCACATATTACAATTATTTCCTTTAGATATGCTTGTCTTTATGGAGTAAAATGTTCCAGCATAGGAGCAGGCTATTTGGCCCATCATGCTGATGCTGGTCCATTGGAAGTACTGCATATGAAGTGTCTTTCTCTTGCTTCCACCATTGTATTTAGGCAATCCTTAAAGATCAATGAGGCCATCTATGTCTGGAGCCACAGGAGATGGATGAGATACTAAACAAATATTTTATATCAGTATTTACTGCAGAGAAAGACATGGAAGCTAAGGAACTTGGGGAAATAAATAGGGTTGTCTTTAAAACAGTCCACATGACAGAAGAGGAGGTGCTGGAGATCTTAAAATGCATAAAGGTAGATAAATCCCTGGGACCTGATCAAGTGTATTTCAGTACATTGTGGGACGCAAGGGAAGAAATTGTCCTCCCCCAACCCCCACCAGCAGAGATATTTATATTATCTACAGCCACGGATGAAGTGACAGAGGACTGGGGCATGACTAATGTTGTGTCTTTATTTAAGAAAGGCTGCAAGAAAAAGCCAGGGAACTCTAGATCAGTGAGCCTGATGTCAGTGGTGGGTAAGTGGTTGGAGGGGATTCTGAACGATATGATTTACGTGCATTTGGAGAAGCATGAACTGATTAGGGATAATCAACATGACTCTTTTGTGTGGGAAATCGTATCTCATAAACCTTTTGAGGACATGTCCAAGAAGATAGATGAGGGCAGAGCAGTAGACATTGTCTACATAGACTTTAGCAAGACCTTTGACAAGGTTCCACATGGTAGACTGGTCAGTTAAGTTAGATCACATGGGATCCTGAGTAAAAAGAATTTCTCATTTTTGTTCTAAGTGCTTCTTCCCTCACAATTTGGAAATTTCATCCCCTGGTTGTAGATTCCCCAACCAGGGAATTATCTTGCCTGCATCTACCTTGCCTATCCCTTTACATACTTTGCAAATTTCAATGAGATCACCTCTCCATTTTTGAAACTGTGGAGAATAAACACAAGTCCAGTTTCCCCAATCTCTCTTCATTGGGCAGTGCTGCTATTCTGGGAGCAAATCTGTTGAATCTTTTTTGCACTTCTTTTTGTGGCAATAATTTTCTCCCTATGGTAAGAGGACAAAACATTTACATAGTACTCCAAGTGCAATCTAAACAAGGTTCTATACGACTGAAGCAGGACTTTGCTACTCATGTACTGAAATCCCCTTGTGATAAAGAATTACATACTGTAAGCCTTTCTAATTGCTAGATGAACTTGTGTGTTAGCCTTCAGTAATGAATTGACAAGGACACCTAGGATCTTCTGTATATCTACGCTTTCCAACCTCTCGCCATTTCAGATGTACTCTGCACATTTTCTTCCTACCAAATTGGATAACTATTCTATCCAACCCTTTTAACACCTCTCATAAGTCAGCTGTGACTCAGTTCTGGCACTGTTGCCACTGGGTCATGAGATTCTGGACTCTAGTCCCACTCCAGTGCTTTAACACAAAAATCAAGGCTGGCATTCCAGTGTAATATCAGTTTCAGATAAAAATGCTAAACAAACTCCCTTCTGTCCTTTTAGGTTGACGCAAAACACCCATCAGCACTATTTTAAAAATGATCAGTGGAATTTTTCCCAATGTCTTGGTCAATTTCTATCCTTTAATCAGCATCACACAAAACAGATGATCTAGTAATCGTCATATTGCTGTTTGTGAAAGCTCAGTTTGCAAGTTTGCTGTCGTGTTTCTTACACTGTGCCAATGAACACAGTTTACAACTTTTAAGCGATTTGTAAGATCCTGTGATTGCAAAATTACATAAGTGCAATTTAAACAATATTGAAATGTTGCAGAGAAAATGCAGCATTAGAATGCCAACTTCCAGGTACGAGGTGGTTTGTGCTTTGGTAATTAAAAATAATTAAAGTGGTTTGTGATAGGGCAATATATATATATATGTATGTGTATGTATGAATATGTATATGTATATGTATATGTGTATGTGTATATATGTAGCGGGAAGAACACCAGCCTCTGAAACTCAAGTTCCACCAGAATAATGTTGTGAGGTTTTAAGATTAATAAGGACTGATGGATCCACCACATTTTAAACAATTCTGAGCCTGACAACAGTTTGAAGTAGTTGCTTAGGATTTGAGAATTGGTTGGTGATGAGGTAAAGTAGTGTAGGTCTCCTTTAAGAGAACCAGAGGGGGAGTTGTTGAGGGCAGTGGGTCATGCCCAGTGATGAATGGATAGGTGAACACATGGGGGTAGTGTCATAGCTATCTCCAGCACAGAAAAATGCCCTTCAGTCCATTGTGTCCACACCAGCCAAAAACATTAATCTAATCCTATTTTCCAGCACTTGGCCCACATCCTTGTGCACTTGAGATGCCAACGCATACATCTAAATACTACTTAAATATTATGAAGGTTTCTGTCTCTTCCAACCTTACGAGCAGTGAGATTCAGATTCCTACCACCCTCTGGATAAAAAAGTTCTTCCTCACACTTCCACTTCACCAGTTCTGAAGAAGGATCCCGATCTGAAATGTTGACTTTCCTACTCCTCTGATGCTGCCTGACCTGCTATGTTCCTCTACCTCCACACTGTGTTGTCTCTGACTCCAGCATCTGCAGTTCTTGCTATCTCCACTTAACCTTCTACCCCTTACCTTAAATCTATGTCCCCGGTCATTGATCCATCTACCAAGGGAAAACAACATTTCTTCCTGACTATGCCCCTTATAATTGTATATATCTCAATCATGTTCTCCCTCAGTCTCCTCTGTTCCATTGGAAGCAACCCCAGTCTATCCAAAGAGATAGTAGGAACTGCCGATGCTGGAGAATCTGAGATAACAAGGTGTAGAGCTGGATGAACAAGCAGGCCAAGCAGCATCAGAGGAGCACGAAAGCTGACATTTTGGGTCTGGACCCTTCTTCAGAAATGGGGGAGGTGAAGCGGATTCTGAAATAAATAGAGAGAGAAGGGGAGGCGGATGGAGGGTGGATAAAGGAGCAGATAGGTGGAGAGGAGACGGACAGGTCAAGGAGGCAGGGATGGAGCCGGTAAAGGTGAGTGTAGGTGGGGAGTTAGGATGGGGGTTGGTCAGTCAAGGGAAGATGGACAGGTCAAGGAGGCGGGGATGAGGCTGGTAGGTAGGAGGTGGGGATGGGGGTTGGTCTGTGAGGCGGGAAGAGCGGATAGGTGGGAGAAAAGATGGACAGGTCAAGGAGGCGGGGATGAGCTGGGCTGGTTTTGGGACGAGGTCGGGGATGGGGAGAGTTTGAAGCTTGTGTAGTCCACATTGATACCATTGGGCTGCAGGGTTCCCAAGCAAAAAATATGAGGTGCTGTTCCTACAACCTTCAGGTGGCATCGTTGTGGCACTGGAGGAGGCCCAGGATGGACATGTTGTCCAAGGAGTGGGAGGGGGAGTTGAAGTGGTTCGTGACTGGGAGGTGCAGTCTTTTGTCACGAACCGAGCGTAGGTGTTCCACAAAGCGGTCTCCAAGCCTCCACTTGGTTTCCCCGATGTAGAGGAGGCCACATCGGGAACAGCGGATACAATATACCACATTAGCAGATGTGCAGGTGAACATCTGTTTAATGTGGAAGGTTTTCTTGGGGCCTGGGATGGGGGTGAGGGGGGAGATGAAGGGGCAGGTGCAGCACTTCCTGTGGTTGCAGGGAAAAGTGCCGGGGGTGGTGAGGTTAGTGGGGAGTGTGGAACGGACAAGGGAGTCATGGAGAGAGCGGTCCCTCTGGAAGGCAGATAAAGGTGGGGAGGGAAAAATGTCCTTGGTAGTGGGGTCAGATTGCAGGTGGCAGAAATGGCGTAAGACGATATGTTGAATCCGGAGGTTGGTGGGGTGGTACGTGCGGATGAGGGGGATTCTGTTTTTGTTGTTATTGCGGGGAGGGGGTGTGAGGGATGAGTTGCGGGAAACGCAAAATATGCGGTCAAGGGAGTTTTCGACCACTGTGAAGGGGAAGTTGCGGTCCTTGAAAAAACAAGAACAACTGGGATGTCCAGGAGTAAAATGCCTCATCTCAGGAGCAGATGCAGCGGAGGCGAAGGAATTGGGAATAGGCGATGGCATTCTTGCAGGAAGGTGGGTGAGAAGAGGTGTATTCTAGGTAGCTGTGGGAGTGGTAGGCTTGAAATGGATATCGGTTACTTCACAAGCTTCAAAATCTCCCCACCCCTGACCTCATCCCAAAACCAGCCCAGCTCATCCTTGACCTGTCCTTCCTCCCACCTATCCCCTCCTCCCACCTCAAGCCCCACCCCCATCTCCTACCTACTAACCTCATCCTGCCCCCTTGACTTGTCTGTCCTCCCTGGACCGACCTACACTCGCCTTTACTGGCTCCGTCCCCACCTCTTCGACCTGTCTATCTCCTCTATCCATCTTCTATCCGCCTCCCCCTCTCTCCCTATTTATTTCAGAACCCCCTCCCCCATTTCTGAAGAAGGGTCTAGGCCCGAAACGTCAGCCTTCCTGCTCCTCTGATGCTGCTTGGCCTGCTGTGTTCATCCAGCTCTACACCTTGTTATCCTACATCCAATTTGCCCTGGTGGTGGGCGTGGCTGGAGGGTGTGGGCGAGGGGCGGGGTTTCGGATTAGGGTGTGGTCCATGGGGGGGAGGGGCGGGGGCAAGGGGGGGGGGGGGGGCGTGGTGACAAGTAAGAATTTGGGGAGGAGGGTGTGTCCGGGGAGCGGGATTGGCAGCGAAAGGGCGTGGCCAGCGGTGGGGGGGCAATTGGGGGTGTGGTCACGGCCGAAGGGGGCGGGGAAAGGGGCGTGTTTTAGATTCGGGCGCGCACGCTCGAGCTGCTTCAGTTTTTTTGTTCGCCGCGAGCTCGAGGTTGAACCATGTGGATGTCGTTGGCAGCGAGAGGCCGGGGGGCAGCGGCGGTGGTCACAGCCAGCCGAGTCGCCTGGTGTCGGTTACCGGCCGGCCTCCGGGGCTGTGCTCAACCGGCCATCGGCGACAAGGATGAACTGGCTCCCGGATCCGGTACCAGGGTGAAGAGGAGCGTTAGGTAAACCTGGGACGTTTCCGGTATGATCTCGGGTTAGAGGGATGGAGATGTGGAGGCGGAGCCGGGGAACGGAGGTGGGGGGAAACTCGAGGGGAGCGCTTGAATGATCTTCTGGGGTTGGCGAAGATCCCAGGATGGGGTAAGGGAGCTGGAGAAGGAAGATAGATCCCTGGGGGATGGAATCCGGGGTGTGAAGATGGGAGAGGTCCCGGTAGGGGAGTGAGAGGTGGATTGAAGGGATTAGGTGTTGGAGAAATGAGGGTTAAGTGGGCTTGGATGTGGGGAAGGGGGTGTTTAAACGATCCTGGGTGTGCGGTAATAGAAATTTTAAAGAGACTTGGGTGCATGGAGAAAGCGATCTGGGTGTGGGGCAGTGTGGAGTGTTAAAGAACCCTGGAGCAATGGTGAGAGAGGCTCAAATGAGTCCTGCGATGAGCAAGAGGTGGTTTAACTGTATGTTTGGGGGTGTTTGGAGGACCCTGGGAAAGAGTGGTTTAAAGGCATATGTTGGATGGGGAAGGTGGGAGTGGAAGGGAGAATTTAAAAGGGTCCTGGGGAAGTTGGTGTGTTAGAATTGAAATATTGAAGGACTGCTGGGATAGTAGGGAGGATGTTCGGGAGTAGATATGGGTTAAAAGGATGTAGACACTGAGTTAATTAGTGGAACTAAGAACGGGAAGACTATAGAAGTCAGGACACGGTTTAAAAGAGTCCAGGGATAAATTGTAGAAGTCTGCAGAAGAACAGTGTAATGAAAGGGGAGCCAAGAAGTGAAAGAAGTCTGAGGGAAGAGAAAGCGGGTTTAAAGGGGAGTGGGTTTGGAGGCACCGGTAAACGAGAGAAGATCCTTGGTCAGTTTGATGCAGTGTGTGAAATCAGCCTTGATTATTGTTGCATGATTTCTTGCTAATTTGGAAGGGAAGACTAGCTGGCCTATTTCTCATAGGTGAAGAATCCCTTAAAAGTGCAACAAAAATTTGATTAACAATGCTTCTGCCATGTCTATTTGAGTTTAGTGGGAACAAGCATTTTGTTTTTTTTTTGAAGCCAGCTTCATGATCATTCGGACAAAGTCAACTTTGATAGACTGGGCAGGTGTTTTCAAATGCTCAAAAAGCCAACATTCTAGGGAAAGACGAAGAAAGTGCTTCAAAGACACTTTGAAGCTCTTTTTGGAGGATTGGGGCTCTGACTTTAATGAATGGAAGGAGTTTATCATTCGAAATAGCGATAATTTGTCCATGGTGTATTTTCTTTATCTCTAGCGTATGTATATTGGTTTTGTCTTTTTGCTCTGTCAGAGCTGACTTATACTCTATTAACATCTACACTAGACCAATGCTTTTTGTTCTCAGTAAGCATAATTGGTCCCATTGTTTTTTGTTCAAGACATCTGTTTTCTAAATTCCTTGCCCTCTAGCCTTTCTCTGGCCATCTCTCTTTCACCATTGCCTCATCGGTGAGGCAGGCCCAGTGGTGAAAGATGGCAGCTGAGGATTGGCGATTACTTTGGTTGGGTCTAGTTTAGATGGCAGCGAAGCAGTGGAGGAAGGATGGTGGCGTAGGCGTTATTGATGGTGATAAGCTGGGTCAGGACTGATGGACTCTCTTTGAGCTATTATCTTTCTTTGCTATCCTTATTCTTAAATCATTCAAAATGGTGTCAAATCGTGGTGACTAGTGAAAGCTTCTCACAGTATATTATTGTGTTCTTGCTTAAAATACATGTGACAATAAAGTCATTCATTGTTCACCTCCATCTTTCTCCAACATCATACACTCCATCGCTTTTCCACCCTTCTCAGTGCTTCAGAAAAATCATATTGGACTCAATGTTAATTCTGTTTCTTCAGCATTTTTTTAATTGAAAAACTGAAACAATTCCTGCACTGCAATCCCACTGCCTCCTGGAACGTCTTGTGTACCCTAGCTGAAGGTCAAAAATCAGTTTGTTTGTGAAAACGTTTTGAATCAAGGGGCAGCTGACTAGATGAAGAGTGGGTTAATCATGCCTTGAGGAAGAAGCAGAGGAAATATAGGAACAAGAAACAAAACTTTGCATTTGGGCAGTGGTTAGATTTCCCATTGGCAAGTTGAGAGTTTAGTGCTGGTGATTGGAGGTTAGACAGGGTTCCCGAGAGCAAGTAATTGCATAATAAAAAGCATACTTCCCTTTAAAGCAAATTATTATCATTAGAGAGAAGATTGCAAAAGTGATGTCTTTAACAGGGAAGGCGATTGAAACAGTTTACCTATTTCCTTCCGTTCATGACCTCAAGTTGTCCCAAGTGCTTTATATCCAATTAAGGACTATTGAACTGTAGTCACTATAGTAATGTAGGAAATGCAGCATGAACATGGCAAGTTTTTACCAACAGGAATACGGTTAAGAGTGGATAAGGGGGTGTGAGGGTTAGAGGTGCAGTGGACAGAATACACTCCCCACCCCCACCCCACACCCAATCCTGGGTATTATTGACATAGGGGATCAGTCACGAATGCTGACCATTGTAAATAGGAGCTTTTAATGGGACTTCTGCCCATTCCAAGTACAGCGATTTAAAAACTTTATTTAACTTCTTTGCCAACGCAGCAACTTTTACATAAGAATATTATCTAAGTGAGGTTTCCATTTCATATCAACATTAAAGTTGTAATCTACAATGGTAGTAAGCAACATTCTGACTCTGCAACTTTAGGGGAGTGAAGGAGGGACCTTTAACTCTGCATTGCTTCAGAATTGCTTTTAGATACCAATTCCAAATTTGCACAGTGTGTTTACACTATAATTGTGTAGATACAGTCAAAGGTGTGGATAAAGTTAGCACATTGAAAATTAATTGAAAGGTAAATAAACCCATTTCTTGATAGGTGTGTTGTGCATTTAATTGTTGATGCAATGCTTGTTTTTCTCTGATTATGAATACTGTGAAAGCTAACAGAATATTTCTGTTGAACTCTCCCTTAGGCAAATAATCCTGAATTGTAAAACAGAATTGGCAGTCTTACAGAAAAATGAGCTATGCTTTCACCCAGGACTGGCCATTGTTCAGGTTTGTTTTCAAGATGTAAGCAAATTTACTTTTAGGTTTTGTTTTTAGTCAGAAAGTGGTTTCAGTTCTTACCCTGTACCACCCTGGTCCATGACTAAATTTGATCACAGACCCATGTTGTTGCTGTTATTGAGCAGCTAACAGAAAACTGGTTGTCACTGGCAAAGCTGATCATTTATTACTCATCCTAAGTTACCCTTGACTGGCTTTCTGGATCACTTCAAAAGGCAATTGAGAACCACTATGTTGGTTGTGGGACTGGAGTTACATTTAGGCCAGACCAAACGAGGGCAGCAGTAAAACTTGGGATTTTAAATGACAACTCCACTGTTTCTTGGCTACTTTTAATAATGGGCATTAGTTTACTGTTTAATTTGGAAGATGATCCATTCTACAGTGGAGAGAACTATTTTCTGCTTAGTTTCTGGAGTGGGGCTTGAACCCAAGATCTGATTCTGAGGTAAAAGTTCTATTCATTGAACCACATTTGACACACTCCCATGCTGACAAAATGACTAGTTTTCGTTATTGTCAAGATTTGGGACCAAACAAGGAAGGGGCCATCTGTCTCACTATTATGTCTTTATTTACAGCTGAGACCAAATCATGTCTCTTGATTACAGAAATTTTATGTTCTGCATGTAATGAAATAAACTTTTATCGAATTAAATATAGGTGAGTATGTGATATTCTGTGTTTTGATTGATCACCATCCCAATGCTCCATCATCTTGCTTTGTAATTTTCAGGTAAAGTTATGTTTGTGGTTGTGTGTGTGTTTTCTGACAGGTGATTTTAAATTTAAAATATTCACTGCTACATTCAATGTTTTTTTTGAAAGAATGATCATTTTCTTATTAGGTCACTGATAATGATATATTGGAGGTCAAAAAGATGGCAGCAGAGGTGAGTTTTCATCAGTATGTTCAAGGTGTAAATTGTTGATTTGTTTCAACATTTGTTTATCACAAGTTTACCTAATTTCCTCTACTCTCAGTTAATTAATGAATTTTCTAATGAACATAGTTCTATCTTGGAATTCCCTTGAACAGGAAGAGCCTGTTCAGCTCCTTGGAGCTGTCCAGTAATCTCGTTCACTGTTCTTAGCCTGTACATCTTTTCTTTTTCATGTTCACTGTTCAAATTCCATTTTGAAAATTCGTATTGAATCTGTTTCTCCCAGCCTCTAAAGCAGTGCACATCTGTCTGATCGTTAGAAATTGCTGAGGGGAGAAAATATTTCTAGTTTTTCTTCTGGTTCTTTAGTAAGTTGGAATTTTTGTGAACCAAGCATCTTCAGTTTATTTCTCTTTTTACTAAATTTATCTGCATTTGTGGCCTTCCTAACCGTGGAACAATTTTGGAATGTTTCCTGTCTTCTTTGAAAAAGAATAGTTTGATTCTCGGTCTTCCCGTCACTTGCTGAAATTAAGTTCCTTATCTCTGTTTGTATCTCTGCTAAATTTCTGCTGGTAAGTCCACTGGTCTGTGTGAAGCATGTTTCTGGGAAAGGATTGTCAATCTCTGTATCCAGATTCTCTCAGATTGATAGTCCAAAAACTCAGGCTGGACAGTGACGTCTCTTTATCCACACTAGCAGCAGTCAGGGTTTGGATATCTTACACTGGGCATGGGACCTAGGCCAGTAACATTCTATTGCTAATGCTGTTTAAGTTTCCATCAACTCCTTGCCCCAGTATCACCTACTCCTCGGTGTATCCCAGTGCAAGCAATTGTTCACCACCTAAGTGGTGAAATCTTGCTGAAGGACCTGTCCTTGACATTTTGGAGTGTTAAAATAGATTCAGGCACTTTGTATATTCAATTCTGCTCTGACAGCAAAATCCCTTTGAGGGCAGAATCCTTGGGAACTGCTGCTCCTGCTTTTAGATGGAAGTTGCTACAGGTTTCCTGCTGCACTCCCGTTTCTGTAGCCAATAGATGGCATGCCAGAGAGTAAGTATTGCCCTGATTTCTTCCTTTCATGTGTCCTATCCTTTCATAATTATAACTTAAGTCAAATTGCCTTATAAGCTGCATTGTTCTATTGCAAATTACTTGAAGTATTCAAGTCTCTCTATAGGGTAGACATTAAAAATAAATAGATCAATCGAAGTGTAAAAATAACCCATGTGACAATGTAACAAATGTGTTGATCATTTGCACTGTTTTGACAATGGGTCAGAACTCCAAAATATTACGGGCATTTTTTAACTTGCAATTCTAAAATGCCTTTTTTTTGAAAGAGGGCTGATACAGCCAAAAATAGCTACAGATGTAAATTAAGTGACTGGGTGGGCAGAGAGAGAGAGATTCACAGCACATCTCGTCTAAACATGTGACAGAAAATCCAAACTTCGAATCAAAACAAACTCCTCTCTTGCCTGCAAAGGTAACAAGGGGCAGACAATCCCAGCTCACCAGCTAGATACTCTGTGCGGATTATGCCCCAAACTGAATATATATCTTGTGTTTTCCCTTTGAGTAGCACAGAAGGGCAGGCATTAAAAAGCCAGCTTCATCTCCTGGTGAGGGCTAGTGGGGACGGAACGTTCTGCTGAGGGCTAGTGGGACTGAACTTCGTGCGTCTATAGTAACCTGGTTTTGAGTGACAGCATGCTGTGAAGGTCACAGTCAAAGAGCCATGCCCTGAGATGTCGGGACTGACATATGAAGAGAAACTGGACTATTATGATTAGGACTGTTATTTACTGGAGTTTAGAAGAATGAGGGAAGATCTCCTAGAAACCTACAAAATTCTAATGGTAAATACAGGAAGGATGTACCCAGTGACTGGGGCACCCAGAAACAGGGATCACAATTTAAGGATATGGGATAGATCCTTTAGGACTGAGATGAGGAGAAATGACTATACCCAGAAAGTGGTGAACCCATGGAATCCTTTGCCACATAAAATGGTGGAAGTCCACAATCTTGAATGTTTTCAAGAAGGAATTATATATAGTTCTTTTGGGGTTAAAGGGATCAAAGGGTATGGGGTTAAAAAGGGAACAGGGTGGTGAGTTGAATGATGAGCCATGATTATATTGAATGGTGGAGCAGGTTTGAAGGGCATAATGGCCTACACCTCCTATATTTTGTTTCCAGTCCCCGCCCCCCAACCCGCAATAAAGGGAGAACAAACTTGAATATTGAGTGCTCGAAGTCAACTAAGTAGGAATCCAAACAATAAAGGATCCTTTCCCACTTAAATGTTAGAATTCAATCACAGTCAAAAGGAATCATCACAACAGAACCTCAACCTATGTCCAAGACTAAGAATCATGAAATTGATAGTTAATTACCAACACTACTGGTGACCTCCAATGTAGTAGCTGCAGCATTTAATTATGTACTGTTTGAAAATAATTCAGAGACTGACCTGTATATCTTTTATTTAACTTTTTATCTTTTTGGACTCGTTTCTTATTTCTAATCTGTGCATTTGTGTTATGTAATTATTTATTCTTGCGTTTAAATGATAAACTCTATACTTTGATAACTCAGGAATGCCTTGTCAGGGAGAAAGTTTTTCACAAAGGAAGTCTGTTTTGAAATTAACCCTATGATGAATGAAAGATGAGTGAATAAAAAGGAGTTATTCAGAAACTCCCATTGAAAACCATAACAAATGGGGCATCCTAACCTGGCACCTGACCCATCAAAGTTGCACCTTTTGTAGGTCTTGGACCACAGCAGGAGAAATTTCTAATCTAGACATTTTTCTTGCTAGCCACAAGATGGCATAAACAGATTAGAATTCACAGAACTTGATGAGGTACAAGTGACCAGAAAATGATTTAAGATCCTCTGAAAATCATAGAATGGTTGCATTCGCGAATGAGGCTAGTCAGCCTGTTGTGTCCTTGCGAAATCTCTGCAAGATCAACTCAGCAAGTCCCACTCCTGGCTTCTCCCTATAGTCCTGCAAATTTCCCTACTTTTTCAGATAATTGTATAATTCCCTAATGAATGGCACAGTTAGATCTGCATCAGTCACATTCTTGGGCAATGCATTGTAGATCTTTCTGAATCATTGCTTTTAAAAAAATGTTTCTTTCCCCTCACGTCACTGTTGTTTCTTCTGCCAGACTCCTTAAATTGGTGTCCTCTAGTTCTGTATTTTTCCACCAATGGGAACAGTTTCTGTCTTTCTAAACTGTCCAGCCATCTCATGACTTTGAAAATCTCCATCAAATGTCCTGTGATCTTCTCTTGAAGTTTGTGCCACCGTATCTGCCATCTCTCTCTACAAAAAACCGATGAGGAAAATAATTTTTTTAAATTTTAAAATAATTTTATGTCATGCCTAATATGCCATGTCTACCAGGAATTTAAAGCACTGCTAGGACAAAAGTATTTGATTTCTGCAAAGGCAAAATTGAGCTAGATGAGGAGTGAATAAGAAATAAAAACTGATACTGAATAATAAGGTTTAGTGAAGAAATTGAACATGTTCAAAGTTGTAATACTAATATGGAAGACTAGAGATTGTCATTATTACAGATCATAACTGGGATCACCCATGGATAAATCAAACTTTTAATTCCAACATCAGTTTTTTTTGAAAGAAAGGACTGATATAACCAAGGTGACTGTTGATTCAGGTTTAGTGGCTATCTGGAGGGAAATTCTGTAATGTCATTACAGAGGGAAACGTCAAAGGGACTAACTGAGAAGCAAGTGATAACGAGAGGCTGACAACTTCCCCTCACGCCGCTTCAGAACGATGTCACTTCCTGCAGAAACTTTTGTCTTTTACCCTTGTAGGCATATCAAATTTGGTGTAAGAAGTGAACTTCATTCCAGATTTTATGTATGTTATTGGTCCGACATCCAAGTGCGTGTGTGTGTGTTGGTGGTGGGGGAGGGGGGCGGGTAGTGGTGCGCTATGAAGAACAGCATTGAGAACAGTCATTAAACAAGCCTGTACTGCAGATAAAGGAATGGAACCAGATATCCTAAATTTATCTAGTCCCATTTGTTAGCATTTGGCCCATATCCCTCCAAAACCTCCTTATTCATGTACCCATCCGAATGCCTTTTACAATTAAACATTTAAAAGGCATCTGGATGGGTACATGAATTGGAAGGGTTTAGAGGGATGTGGGCCAATGCTGGCAAATGGAACTCGATTAATTTAGGTATCTGGTTGGCATGGACAAGTTGGACCGAAGGATCTGTTACATGCTGTGCAGCTCTGACTCTATAAAAGTCTCTCACTTTGAGTGCTATTAGCCAGCCACTGTTGAAAGGAACCAAGAATCTTGAATTTGCTTGTTCAACTGATTACACCCAACGCTACTGGTGACATCTCCTGTAATGGCCATGATGTTTGAATGACTAGTCGTCACAAACAACCCTGACTGATTCATACGTTTTAGAGCCATTTTTGTTTGTACTCATACCTTTGTGTGTTTTTGCACTCATATCTTTGTGTTGATGTGTGTTGCATTTTTATTTCTTCTCCTATTTAGTAGCTAATAAACTTGCTTTTCTTAACTCAAGTAAGCCTGGTTATATTGGCTCCTTTTAAAACATAAGTTCATTTGGTCTGGGAGAAAGTTATCCACAAAGGATAACAAGATATTGCAAACTTCAAAATAGTTAAGTGAGAAGTTGAATTGAAGGATAGGCAGAAAAAGTTCTGTAATCCTCCAATATTACAAAGGGAAACCATATTCTCTGGGAAAATTACATGTTGAGAAGTTAATGACTTTTGATAATTGACTAAATTACTGGCCTTGAGGAGGTGCAGTGAAGATTCATCAAAATGTATCGAGAGCTTATCAGTTAAAGTTTAAAGCCAAGTTGCATAAACTTGGGTTCGCTCAAGTTTAGAAGCTTGAGGGGTATTGTGATTGGCGTTTTTAAAATGCTAGTCTAGATTTAGAGAACTTGGGTGTACTGCAGGAGGAATCCAGACACACATAGGCATAGTCTAATTAGGTTCTGGCTTTTCAGGTGTGAAAGCAGTTACAAATCCCGGAGAAACTTGGCAGATCTGACAGGATCTGTGGAGAAAGAAATGAACAGCGTGGTCAATTTCTGAATTTATGGAATTCAATATTGAGAGATCGAGGCTGTAAAATGCCCAAGCGGAAATATGAAATCTGTTCCTTGAGTATGTGTTGTGCTTAATTGGAACATTTCAGCAAGGATAGAAAGTTAGCATGAGAGCAAAGCAGTTTATCGAAATGGCAAGCAACAGGGAGGTCAGGATCATTCCTATTCACACAGTGGAAGTGTTCTGCAAAACAGTCACCCAGTTTGCATTCGTTCTCACCAATCTAAAGGAGACTAGATTGAAAGAAGTACAAGTGAAGTGCTGCTTTAGCAGGAAGCTGTTTGGGTCTTGTGGAGATGAATAGGATAATCGAGAATGATATAATCAGGAACTCTTTTCAACAAAGGGTATAGCATAAGTTTGAAGCTCACCTCTCTAATAGTTGTTGATGCTGTCTGGGGTTGGTGGAGGAAACAATTGGAACTTTCAAGGTTAAGGGTTTTTATTTTGTTACAGAATGTGTCGCCAGTGGCAAGGCCATCATTTATTGTTCTTGACAAGATGGTGATGAGTAGCTGCTTTGAGCTGCTGCAATCCTTGTCATGTCATTTCGCTTGCAGTGCTGTTAGGGGGGGAGTTCCAGGACTTCGGCCCAGCAACAGTGAAGGAACAGTTTTTTTTTGTTCAAATTGCACAGCAGTGTTCTGTACATCTGCTGCCCTTGTTCTTCTAGGTGTTAGAGATTCTTGAGTTTGGAATGTCTTGCAGAAGGAACTTTGCTGAATTGCTGCAGTGTATCTTGGTAAATGGTACATACTGCACTGTAGTGTGCAGATAGTGGAGAGAATAAACTTTTAAGATGGTGGATAGTGTGCCAAACTAATGGGCTGCTTTGTCCTATATAATTTCAAGCTCCTTGGGTATTATTAGAACTGCACTTATCTAGGAAAATAGAGAGTACTTCATCATACTCCTGACTTATGCCTTGTAGACTATGGGCATGCTTTGGGAAATTAGGAGATGAGTTATTAATTACAGAATTCCCAGTCTCTGACCTACTCTTTTAACTTTTTCCATTCATGGGATGTGTGTCACCGGCTGGGCGACCCATTTATTGCCAATCCCCCATTGCCCTTGGGAAGGTGGTAGTGACCTTCTGTCTTGAGCTGGTGCAGTCCCTTTCGTGGAAGTAAACTCATAATGTTGGGGATGAAGTTCCAGAACTTTGACACTCCAACAGTGAAGTAATAGCGATATGTCTAATTAAGGATAGTAAGTGCCTTGGAGGAGAACTTGGAGGTGGTGGTGTTTCTATGTGCCTTATCCCATCCTTCTAGGTAGTAATGGCTGGGTGTTTGGAAGGTGCTGTCTAAGGACCTTTGTAGTCCAGAACTTCAACATGTTGTAGATGGTACAGACTGCTACAGTTGTTGACTTGCTCACCGAGTTGGGTTGTTTTCGTTCATTTGAACGAAAACGAGCCAGCTCGGTGAGCAAGTCAATAACCTCACCCACATCCCAAGCTACAGATCTTTGCTAAAACCTTAAAGACTGCTGCTACCGTGTTGGTCGTGCAGGGAGTGATTTTTTTTCCTCTCTGTGGTGCCTCTAAGCAGACTGCTCTGCCCTGAATGTCAAACTGCTTGAGTGTTTTTGGAGCTGCATTCATCCAGGCGAATGGAAAGTATACTGCCACATTGTTCACCATCTATGTGGCACAAGTCAGCAGTCTATTGGGAGTCAGGAGGTGAATTACTTCCTGCAGGATTCCTAGCCTCTGACCTCTTGTAGCCATAGTATTTAAATGACTGGTTCAGTTTAGTTTCTGGTCATTGGTAGCTCCACAGGCTGTTGGTAGCATGGCATTGAGCAAAAGTAATGCCGTTGAATATGTCATAAAGCGGAGGTTGGACAACCACCACCCCCCCTGCCCAAAACCAAACCACTCAAAGATGAGCAGATTCAAATTTGATAGGTATTTGGTATCTAAGTGTCTGGTTCAAATTGTCTAAATTCAAAAACCTGTTGTCTTGGTAAAAATGCTGCTTGGTCTGCTAATGGCACTGCCTTTCAATACAAATGTTTTAATTCGGGTGCTCACTGAACTTGCAAACTTTCAAGCTGCTCACAGACATCTCTAAGCATAGAAAAAGCGTAATCTTTTAAAGGGACCACATGATGCTTTCCCCCCTAGCATTTTAGAAACACCAAATTCTAACGTCCTGCCTCCCAATCCCACAAATATTTTACCCAACTTCACAACACCTCCCCCTTTAAGAGAAATAGAGCCATCTTACAAAAAGATGGCTTCCATTTTTTCCTAAAACCTTAACTCCATTATATTGCTAGATCATAGCTCATTAATCTAGAGTTATGTATTTTATACTAATTCCATTTATATATAACATTAAACACCGCCATTTCTATCTTGTATAAACATTTTTCTTTTAAACCTGCGATACAGTATCCGCAATAACATTTTCACAACCCGCAACATTTACAATCTGTAAATCAAATGCTTACAACGTGAGACTCCAATGAAATAGTCTGGTGGTCTTGTCCTTAAATCTTCCCAGAAATGTCAAAGGATTGTGATCGGTATACGCAATTGTCTGCATGTTTTTTTGCAATGTAAACATTTAAAATGTTCTAAGGCCAGTAGCAAACTCAATAACTCTTTGTCAATGGTTGAATATCATTTCTGGTGGTTGACATGTTTTTGAAAAATAACCAATTGGCTTTTCAGTTCCACAATCGTCTTCCTGTAACAACACAGCTCCAACACCTATATTGCGGGCATCGATGGTGACTTTGAAGGCTTACAAGAAATTTGGTGTGACTAAAACTGGTGTAGTGGTTAACACTGCTTTTAGATTCTCAAATGCCTCCTGGCATTGCTCTATTCACTAAAGTTTTTTGTTTTTTTAACAAATCTGTCAATGGTGCCACCACACTACTAAAGTGTGGTACAAATTTCCTGTAGAATCGACTCGATCCTAAAAATTGTAGCACTTCCTTCTTAGAGGATGGTCTTGGAAATTCCTCAATGGCCTTCGTCTTCATGTTTCTCTGTGTCATCTATCCATGTCCGATGTTGTGCCCTAAGAACGTCACTTCCGCCTTCTCGAATTTTGTTTTTGCCAAGTTTATGACCAACTTTGCTTTCGTAGTCTCTCAAAGAGTTCTGCCTAATGCTCAGTGTGATCTTTCCATGATTGGCTAAAGATCACTAAGTCATTTATGTAGACGGCACAATTAGTCAATCCTGCAATGACACTGTTTATAAGCCTTTGAAAAGTGGCTGGTGCCTTTTTCATTCCAAAGGGCATTACTTTAAACTGATATGGCCCATCTGGGGTTACAAAAGCAGAAACTTCCTTCGCCCTCTCCGACAATGGTACTTGCCAGTAACTGCGAAGTAAATCCAATTTTGTGATGCAAGTGGGATGTCCTACTTTTTCTACACAGTCCTTCAGCCTTGAATTGGGTATGAGTCAGATTTTGTCACAGCGTTGACCTTCTGGTAGTACTATACAGAATTGTTGAGATTATCAGGTTTGGGAACCAGCATTATCGAATTCCACTCACTTTGACTCTGCTCTATGATGTCTTCTTGGAGCATTGCTTCTACTTCCTTCTGTACCTGCGGTACATTGAGAGGATTAAACCTATAGGGATGGGGTTTTATTGGAACAGCATTCCCTACATCAACCTCATGGTCTTCAAGCTCTGGTGCCACCTTTCAAATGCCCCCTGGGATTCAGAATGATGTGTACTTGACTCAAAATGTTGGATGCCTAAATTATCCATGACCACCTCAAATAATTTGGCAGTAAAATTGGACTCCGAGGAATTCCTGTGGTGTTACAGATAGGCGTCCTCTAATTGAATGATGAGACACGCTTGCTAATTAACAGCTTTGTTCCTGCCCCTACGTTCCTATAATTCTGGTGACTGTTTTTAAATGGTCAAAGATGCAGAAAAGATCAAATGTAAGGAGAATGAATGTTTAAAGTTCTGTACTAGGAAGGAAAAGGAGCTTGTGTCTATTCAGAGGTTTTCACAACCACAAGATATCCAAAAGCATAAATTACAGCTATTAAAATAATTTTTTTGAAACGTGGTAATGTGCATAATTCAACAGTTAACTTATGCACAGCAAGATTCTGCACAATGAGATCATGGCTGAATTTTTGTTTTTCTGATGTTGTTGATTGTGTGATGAATATTGTGCAGAACACCTGGGGTAGCTCCTCGGTTCCTCTTCATATAGTGCCATATGAACAATTACATGATCTTAAGAGAACAAATAGGGCCTCAATGAAATGTTCCATCCAAAAAATGGCACAATGTAGCACTCCTTATATTGCATGAGGATTAGTCAGGCTCAATATATTCTCAAGCCTGGCGTGGGCTTGAATTCAATTTTTTGACTCTGATGAGAATACTCACTGAACCACAGTTGGCTGAACACTAAAAGGATTAACTTTGAGCTATATTAATTACTGTATTTTTTAAGGAAAACTCCTATGTTAGAAGTGCCGTAAAAATTGGAATTAATTATTTGGTGAATGTTCTCATGTCTTAACATCTCTTTTTGTTAGGTTGGCTTACATGTTGTTCACATATGTTTGCCGGAAGAAACTGCTACAGAGGAGGTAACTGAATTTTTTCATAATCCTTATTTTTATATGTTGATTTGTAATCAACATGTCAGACTGATTCACACATCTGAAATTGGGTGAGGTGTAACATGGGTGGATGGTTCACCATTGTTTAGTTCTTAAGAGCAGATTTACTTCTATTCTTAATCAGGCCTTGTGCAGGTTATGTAAAACTTCATACATTGTATGGCATAGAAATAAGTTACTTATCCCAACAGGTTCCTGCTGGTGTTTATACTCTTCACTACCCTGCCACATTATCCTACATTGCCTTTCCCTTGTACACATTCAGTTTAGTTAATTTTACTTGCTTACCGCTCTGGATGAAGAATGTTCTGCTAGTTTGGGACACTCCCACAAGAGGCAATATCTCTTCTTTTACCATATTTACCACATCATAACTTTAAAGGCCTCAGGTTACCTCTCAGATCTCCCCTTTCTGGAGGAAAGAATCACAGGCTTCCTTCTTGACTTTGGTATCATCCATGTAACTTTGGAGACCAGAACTGGCACACGGCTACAAGTGTAGCCAGAACAAGGTTCTCAACATTAAACTTTTCATTTCAATAAACTTGATCTTAAATTTGAAGCTTCCAATTACAAAGTGTCTTCTGTTGCCTTTTGTCCTTCATAAACTTCAGCTTGTGCCAAGTCCAGTTCACCAATTGCCCCTGAGCTTGCTGTTTCAAGTTGGCTCCAAAAGGCAGCAATTTGATTTAAAGGCTCTGAAACTTGTGTTCAAATGTCTCCTCCATGACTTCATCCCTCCATGTCTCTACAAGCTGATTTAGCCCTTAATCCTCAGACTGCATTCCTCCATTTCTGGTTGCACTGTTTCCTTTATGCTACCACTGGTGGCTGAGCCTGTAGTTGACTTGGCCTTAAGCTATACGGTTTCATCCCAATACCTCTGTCTCTTTAGCTCCTCTTAAGCCTCTCCTTGAATCCAATGTGTTTGACCCAGCATTTGGCCATCTGTCTTAATATCTGCTTATGCAGCTTGATGGCAAATTCTACCTGATTGTGTAATTGTGAAGTACTTTGACACTAAAGTCCGCACTGTAAGTAGAAGTCGTGTAATTATATGTTCCTTGATACAGCTTTTAGATGAGATCATGAAGCTAAATGATGATCCTAAAATCCGGGGCTTGGTTCTGCCCCACAGTCTTGTCATGAGCGATACAGCAATAAATGCAGTGCTTCCTGAGAAAGATATCGATGGGTAAGTGTTCTGTCTTTTCGGCAGCATAAGAGCCTTCTCCACTAGGGTCTTTTGGTATGTCATTAGAGCTTCACATTCATTGGAGAGGCAAGGCTCGGGGGCAAATGCAAATGGAACTTAAAGACACATGAATAATAAATTACAGAGCATGGAGACCAGAAGACTGCAAACATGACTCTGTGATTTGAGAAGTCACTGGAGAATGAATGAGAACCATAGCAGCGTAGTGCAGACTCCAGTAGGGCTGGCAAAGATCATGAAGATAGGATAAATTTGTCTATATGGATGAGAATTTTAAAATCAAAGCTTTGCTCCTTAGAGAAGCCAACATTGGAAGGAGACTGCAAGATCTGCAGGTGCTGGAGTCAGAGACAACAGTGTGGAGCTGGAGGAACACAGCAGGCCAGGCAGCATCAGAGGAGCAGGAAAGTCTATGTTTCAGGTCAGGACCCTGCTTCTGAAGAAAGGTCCTGACCTGAAAAGTCAATTTTCTTGCTCCTCCGCTGCTGCCTGGCCTGCTGTGTTCCTCCAGATCCACATTGGAAGGAGATTTGATAGAAAATCAGGACACAGTGACAAAAGAACTGAAGGTGACAGGAGGGAAAAAAAATCTTTTATGTGGGAATGGTCGGGATCTGGAATGACATGCCTGAATGAGTGGTGAAAACAGATTTAATTGTGCTTTCAAATGAAATTAGCTGAGCACCTGAAGGTGGAAAACATCAAGGCTACAGGGAAATGGTGTGGGAGAATGGTGTGCTTTTGAAGTGAGCCAATATTTTCCTCCCAAATAAATGGTCTTCTCCTGTGGTGTAACTGTTTTATGATTCTGTGCTGCAATGGCAGCTGATTTAGGTCAGTGAGCAGAGGGATGATGGGTGAATGAATCTTGATCCAAGTTAAGGAACACTATTTTGGATAAATTAAAGGTGATGAAGGATGGAAAGCAGTCATTGGGAGCATTGGGGTCTGGAGATGAAAACAACTTGTCAGTTACCCGCTTCAGTTGCCAACCTCTTTTTAAAACTCATTCTGTCAATGCAGACTTTGCAGGCAAAACTATTTATTGCTTACCCTCGTTACCCAAAGAGGTTAGTTGAGAGGTCCCATCTTGAATTACTGCAGTTCCCATAATGTCGGTTCACCCACAGTGATGTTATGAAAGAAGTTCCAGGATTTTTGAACGAGCGAATATTTAGGAACTACATGAACATTCCTATCAGGATAGTGTGTGACTTATAGGGGAATTTGCAGGAGATTGTATTTCCATCACCTGTTGCTTTTGTTATTCTCAGTAGTGGAGGGAAGTATTGTTATACAAGCATTGTAGGTTGCTGCAGTTTGTTCTGTAAGGTATTTGCTGCTGTGCATTTTAGAGCCAGAACGCATTGTATCCATGGTGGAGAGAGTGGAGGTTTAAGGTGGTGGATTGCCTGCCAGTTGAGTGGATTACCTTGTCCAGGAGGGTGTCCAATGTGTGATGCTGAAGCTACACATATCTGGGGAGTCTTTCACCATATTCCTGACTGGTGTTTTGAAATTGGTGAGATTTTTCTGGAGTCAGGAGTTGAAAGTGTTATGCAATGCATAGCTTCTGATCTGCTGTTGAAACTAAAGCATTTATGTGACTGACCCACATACCTTTCAGCCCCACACTAGGAGGTTCATGTTAAGAGATTCTGTGATATTGATGGTAATGAATATACAAGAAAAATGTAGACTCTCTCGTTGCATAGAGTCATGAGTTGATTTGCAACAAATCTCTGGTTTGTACCTATTTTAAATCTTATCAATTTGTGCCTCTTCACCAGAATCACAGATGTTAATTTAGGAAGACTAGTCCGTGGGAATTTGAATGAATGCTTTGTACCACCAGCAGCAAGTGCAATAATAGAATTACTGGAACAAGCAGGTGAGAAGTGCAGACAGCACCAGGAATTTCACATTCCTCAAACGTGTTAGTGGCCTTTACATTGACCCCTTTTATATCTGTCTTACAGATTTATGCGCCTTTGGGAAGAAGGTCTTAATTATAGGTGAGAATGGTTCACGAGAAGCAGCCCTGCAGAAACTTTTACAAATGAAAGGGATGGTAGTTGTGAACTGCCAGTGGCAGAACACAAACATTATGGAACAGGTAAGAGCCCTGATTCCAACCTGTGAGATATTGAAAATTGGAGATAGCAGTTTAAAATTAAGCACTACTTAGTTTTAATGAACTATTTGACTGAGATTTCTATTAACATCAAGAACATAAAGTTAAAGAGTTAACAAAATTCTGTGAGGAATTGCCTAAATCAAGTAAGAATATTTTCCCATGTAAAATATATTTCTCAAGATGTTAGCAATTGCCATTTTATGCATGTTCCTTTGAGCTGACTTTTGGAAATGCACTACAAGAGAAACAGTTAAGATTTTGCAAAAGAAAGGAAAATTGAAGAAATCTTTGTTTCATTTCACCTGATCTTTCCTCTGGTTTTTTCCTTGAAGCTCTGTGCAGTTGTTGCAGAGCATTGTAGGATCCTTCTGGAGAGGAAAAATACAAGTGATTTTCCCCTACATAAAATTTTGCTGTCGCCAGTGTTTCAATGCCCAGTTATTCAAATATACCTTGTTAATGAACAGTTGAACTATTGAGATCTATTCAGGAAATCCTGAAAGATTGGAGCTAGGGAAGGGGCAAATAAAACTTCATTGGAATAATTCTTTTTCACTTGGTCATGGGATGTGGGGAGTGTTCGCAAGGCCAGCATTTGTTTCCCATCATTAATTCCCATTGAGAAGGTGTTGGTGATCTTCACTTGCTGCAGTACTTGTGCTACAGGTGTATCTGCAGTGCTATTAGAAGTTCCAGGATTTTGGTCCGCTGGCCATGAAGGAGCAGCAAAATAGTTCCATGTCAGGATGGTGTGCAATCTGAATGGAACTTGTAGGTGATGGTGTTCCCAAGCATCTGCTGTCCTTGTCCTTCTAGGTAGTGTAGATTACAGGTTTGTAAGGTAGTGTTGAAACAGGCATCATGAGTTGGTGCTGTGCATCTTGTTATGCTGCCACTGTGAAGGGAGCGAATGTTACTGTTGGAGGAAAAGGCTGTTTTGTCTTAGATGATCTTGAGCTTCTTGAATATTGTTGGAGATGCACCCATCCAGGCAATTGGACAGTCTGGCCTCCAAGATGTTAGATAAGCTGTCTGATAAATTAGAAACACCTGAAGGATTCAAGAGAGGTTGTGATGAGATAAAGTTGACTGTCATCAGTATACATGTGAAAGCTTGACACTGTTCCCACTTGACACCCTCTAAGTGAGAAATAAGAGGGAGCCGAGCATAGGCCCAGAGGTAATGGCATTGGAAAGGGAAAATAAATCATTGCAGCTGATACTTTGGCTAAGATAAGACTGCCCAATGACAAGAGGCTGAGGACATTGCACACATATACTGGAGTTTACAAGAATGAGATACCATCATTAAAACACAAACATTCTGAAGAACTTAACAGGAAAACACAGAGGTTGCTTCCCCTGAATGACAAATCTAGGAGGCATAATCTTAGAGTAATGAGGCAATCATTTAAGAATGATATGAGAAGACAGATTTTGATTGTTAATCTTTAAAATTCCCTGCTTCATCATTGATTATATTTATAGTTAAGATAGGCAGATTTTTGATCTCCAGGAACAAGGAGGGTATAAGGAGCTAGAAGGAAAGAGGAGTTGTATTGAGGATCTGCCATAATTGTATTGAAGATGACTGAGGCTTGAGGTTCATTATGTCTATTTCTACTCCTATTTCTTTACGTTTTTAACTTTGTAACCAGGTGGTCCTACCCAACTAGATAACATGGAGAGATGTTGGAGTAGGATGGTGTAGTTGTGGATCGGACTTCCCAGTCCATTTATTGTTGATTTAAGGCCTGGCAAGTGTTAAAACTACCCTTTTTTTTTCAGGTGATTCTGAAATACGTAGCTTTAATTTACTATTGAGGTCTTCATTGAGCACCTTGAATTTGAAAAATTCAACTTGCATATAATGGTGCTGTGTCCTTGAAACCTGCTGATGAAGCCCAGAACATTAGATCACTGTTTAAATTCTGAATTCTTTTATTATTTGTGGAGGTCAGTAACTTGAAAGGAATGCTCACAGTTCATAGTCTTCTGTTGAAGAAATAATAAGTAATTAACATAAACCTTAAGCTTAGATTTTGACAAACCTGTTTGGATTGATTTTGATTGAAACAATAGGATTTATATGTAACTGTTATTGCAAAACTTGAAAACTAAGTAAATCTGACTCAAAAGCTTGAAAAAGGAGTCAATCAGACCGTTTCCAAAAACATTTGACAGTATACTGCCTACCATCCTCTGTTAACTTGAGCTGATTCAAAAATCAGCTGTCTTTCTCTTACCTCTCATCACCTCTTGTTTATGTATCACCCTTGAGTTCATTACATTGGCTTCTGGTTTGACACTGCCTGAAATTATTTCACTGTTTATATCACTCTGAGGAACGGTCCATCATACCATATAGCCTCTTCAAGCCCTACAACCCTTAGGGAATTATAGGGTTATACAACATGGAAACAGACCCTTCCGTCCAACTCGTCCATGCTGACCAGACATCCTAAATTAACCTAGTCCCATTTGTCAGCATTTGGCTCATATCCCTCTAAACCCTTCCTGTTCATATACCCATCCAGATGCCTTTTAAATGTTGTAATTGTACCAGCCTCCACCACTTCCTCTGCCAGCTTGTTCCATACATGCATCACCCTCTGCGTGAAAAAGTTGCCCCTTAGGTCCCTTTTTTTAAGTCTTTCTCCTCCCGCCTATGCCCTATAGTTTTGGACTCTCCCACCCCAGGGAAAAGACCTTGTCTATTTACCCTATCCATGCCCCTCGTGATTTTATAAACCTCCCTAAGGTCACACCTCAACCTTCGATGCTCCAGGGAAAATAGCCCCAGTCTATTCAGCCTCTCTCTTAGCTCAAACCCGCTGAGACTGGCAACATCCTTGTAAATATTTTCTGAACCCTTTCAAGTTTCACAACATCTCTTCTATAGCAGAGAGACCAGAATTGCAAAAGTGGCCTAATTGCAATTCCAAAAGTGGCTTAAACAATGTCCCATACAGCCGCAACATGACGTCCCATCTCCTATACTCAATTCTTATCTCTTCATCTTCAGTTCTAACCTCTTACATATATCCCACATTTTTTGTCCTACAGTTATTGGTCATGCTTTCACCTGTGTGGACCCTAATCTCTGGAATGCCCTCAACCCATAACCTTGATGCTACTTGAAACTAGCCTCTTGCAACTTTTTGGATCATCTGTCCTATGTCTGACTATGCTCCTTTGAAGGATTTTAGATTGTTTTGCTGTGCATTAGGCATAAATACAAATGTTTTGAAAGCATGTATTTGAACTGAAACTTTTGCAGGATTACGTGCATTATGTATGTGAAAACCTTAAAAGGTATACAAGTTTTGTTTTCTGGTACAGACGTAGTTCTCATTTTAGACTGGTGTATTTTCCACTCAGATAGTGTGAGTTATATTTTTTACTATACAGTATGTTTGGGACTTTTCATTAATTTCATTGAAAACTGTTTGCTAATTATAAATGAATTACTCTTTTACTTTTTAAAAAAAACCTGAGGGAATAAAATGACAAAAGAAAGATTTAAGTAATGTCTCCAGTCAGTGCTTTAAACAGCAAATTTGGAAGCCAAAGTTATCCTATAAGCTGCACTCCAAGCCCTGGTCCTTTACATACATTACATCTTGGCCAATTTGAAGTCAACAGATAAGCTAGATGTATATCCACTAAAGCACCACGCCTAGTCACCTCTCCAACTCTCTTTTCTTTCCACCTCTCTTCTTTAACTGCAACCTGATAGTCCCTTTCCTTGCCATTGGATAATTGACAGGTGTACCATAGGGATAATCCAGTTCTCTGTAGCAAAGCTGCAGGCCAGGAACAGAGTTATGTGGGAGGAAGTAAGTAAATGACAGAACAAGCTCGGACTTCACAGAAGTGCCACACCTATTGGTTAGTCATGGATTGAAATAGTTGCATAGTATGAAATTGATTTCTGTACTTCGTAATCTCAGTGGTAAGCAATGTTATAGTGTTGACAGATTGTGATGGTGGAGAAGCACATTCAGTTGAGCATTGTACAACCAACAGCATTTTAAGCATAGGCAGCAGTAGTTCCAAGAAGTTCCATCGCTACCACACAGCAGGCAATAGGGATGGGAGATACAAACTGCTTTCCAGCCAAGCCCATGTCCTATGAATTAATAAAGGTAGTTTTTGCCTTAGCTTTAACGATGCAAGAGAGAAAAACAAATTCTGACTTGGAGTTTTATGCTCTGAAGATCGTTATCCTGTCCTTTCTTCGCTTTCATACTCTTCCAGTCTATCATCACATTGTAATTTTTCAGTCTGGGAGTTAGAGTAACAAGATTTACATCTGGTTGTAATTTATGTTTCAAGTCCCATGACTCATCTTTGGAATGGTTCTGAAGAAGTCATTGGATTTGAAACAGTAACTCTTGTTTCTCTCCCCATACTTGCAGCTCATCTTGCTGAGTTTCTCCAGCACTTTGTTTTATTTCAAATCTCCAGCCTTTGCAGTATTTTGCTTTTCCTTGTAATTTATAATGTAATGATGAGTTAATATTAAATATGTTTTAAAGTTCAAGTTGAAGGATTGTGGATACTTGTATTTGAAAGATAAATGAAGTTGACTTTGGAACTCTCTGCCTTAAGTGGTGGAGGTGGGGTCATTAGTTTTTTTGATAGTTGGGATTATTGTTAATCTAGGGAATTTGAGGTTATTGGAGTAGACGGCAATGTGAAATTTCAAACACAAACTGATCAGTCATGATCTTGTTGAAATAGGCTCAAGAGATGGAATGTTCTATACTCTTCTCCAGTTTTAGATACTTGTATGTTTAAATTTGGAGTTTTTTTTTCAAACAAAGCATTTCCTGGTAGTTGCATGTCTTATGATAACTGCTTGTTTAATGGAGATTAGTGCCTGAGTTTATTATTGTCAAATTTCAGCATCTGCTTTGGATATTATTTGGCAGTGATCACTCAAAAAGGAAAGAAACTTCTCAGTTTAGCCCTTCTGTTTCTAGAAAGTTTATGCAGTGAAATCCACTGTGAAACCTGATTATCCTCATATTGGGCATCTGGAAGAATCCTTGATATTACTAGGAAACTGCATTTGCCGAGAACCCAGACACTGTTGTCTGTGTTTGGTGACACCTGTCAGTACATGTTGAAATGCCACGTAGGCGGTCATTGCACACCTTATTCTTTTTGGCTTCAAGAACTATCATTGACCTAAAGTGTTTTTTTATGTGAATCTCTGCAGATAGAGATGCTCTTTTCCCTTTTCCTTGTATGAATAAGTGTGTATTTGTGTGTGTTTGGGAGTATGGAAGATAGATATTTATAATGTCATAGTTCAAACTGTTAATTAACTTTACATCATTGTCAAATAAGTCTCGTTTTCTCAATGAATTAATAATTGTGTTGCTTTTTAAAAAAAAAAATCAGTGGCTGATCTTTTTATTCCAAACTTAATACAAGTTAAACATCTAATTAGCCATGTCAGTAACTGGGTAAAGCATTTAAATTTATGTTGTGGTCAGTGGAGTACTGTGTCTGAAGAGAAACAGGGCAACCCTTCAAACTCTCAACAATAGTGTGACTTTGGGTTCAGTAGAGTCACATCTGGAAAAGGAAATTAAGAGTTCTATTATTTTGCTTGCCACATCTATTAGCATGGTTGTTGCAAGATCAGGTGTCTCTCTTGAGCCTGTGGTGTCCTTGTTACAGAGTCAGTCATACGGCATGGAAGTGGAAATATGGTTTGAGTCTTGTATTCCTGATGTTGGAGAGAGAAGCCTTGCATCTATCATACCCCTGTTCATGCACCTTTCCAAATGCATTGTAAGCAGAGTGTAGCTGTTGTTATATGCACAAGGTGTTTGTTATGAATTGTTTCTTTAATTCTAGTAAACTGGTGGAATGAAGAGTCATGTGACCTGAGCTCTGACAACTAACCTAGTTTTCTTAGTTCCTATAGGGATACTGAGACCCTGTTAACTTATCAGTGCAAGGTGTTCACATCTGTAAACAATGGTATGAGCAGTTGTGCTAACTGTGGATAGACTGTTAGTCTTCTAGTTTCACAGGGAAGGTGTTACGCCTGTCAGGTTTAATAAACAATTGCAATTTAAACTATACATTTAATTCCGAGATAGAATGGAGCTTAGGGTTTAGAAGATAACTAATTTGCATTTCTGCCTGGATACAAGGCCGATATGATTTCCATTGCCATGGAGATGGGGTTTGGGAAAATAAATTGAAGGTTATGTGATAAAGGATTTCAGCTTTCCTAAGATACCACTGCACTTCTCAGATACAAATCCGAGTGGAGAAAATGCTGAATTAATTGGTCACCATGCCAAACACTGGTGGGAGCTTAAGTGACAGATCATGAAGGTTTAAAGGAATCTTCAGTGTAACCCTCACAGTAAATACCAGTTATGAGAATAGAAGTTACCAGGTTCAGATTCTGCTGTCCCATTCTGAACCTGGCAACTTCTAATCCTATAACTGATATTTACTGTGAGGGTTACACTGGAGATTTCTTTAAGTCTTTGTGACCTGTCACTTCAATCTGAGCATAAGCTCCCACCAGTGTTTAGCATGGTGACCAATTAATTCAGCATTTTCTCTACTCTGATTTATGTTTGAGAGATTCACTGATGTCTCAGGAAACCTGCAATCCTTTATCACAATGGCCTTCAATTAATTGTTCCCTTCCCAGAACCCATCTCCATGGCAATGGGAATCCTGTTAGTCTTGTATCCAGTTAGAAATGCAAATTAGGTTCAGAATGGAACAACGGTGTAAGTCCTCTGAAGCTCGGAGTACATTGGGACTATTTCATGGAGATTAAAGAGTACTTAAGAGCTGGTGTAAGGTGTAATTGTAGTCAGAAAATTTTAGTCATATTAAAAGCTAAATAGGGAATTTTCTGACTTTAGAGTACGTTGCCAATTGAATAGTGTATAGTTTTCGTTGCATTGCTATTTAGGCCAACATTTTTATTGCCCATTCCTAATTGTTCAGAGGAAACTCATTTCGTAAAGGACATTAGTGAACCTGGTGGGTTTTTTTTACAGCAATCGACAATGGTTACATGGGTGCCATTAGGCTAGCTGTTGAAATTCCAGATTTTTTTTACTGGTTTCTTTTATTGAATTACTCATGTCCCCACAGCATTAGCTTGAGCTTGTGGATTACTGGAATTGCCACTGTGCCACCACCTCCCTTTGTTACAGTAAAAGTCCAAATATGTTTTAAAAAGTTTTGATTTATGTGGGAACTGTAATACAGTTTTTGTAGTGACTTGTGTGACAGAATGCACACAACTTGTTGACTTTTCGTTGAGCCTGATCGGATTTTGATTGAACCATTGTAGGAGGAAAATGAGACCTCTGTTCAATATCTTAGCCACTGACAATGCAACACTCTACTGGCCTTTTTAAACAAGAAACTCTTGAATTCACCCAATTCTTGACTATGATTGATCAATTAATTTAAAAAGACAGATTGTGATATTTTGTTTTTAATTTTTGTGATAGTGTCATCAGAGTGATGTGTTGGTAGTGACCAGTCCCGTGCCAGAAGGACTTGGAGAAGACTGGTTAAAAGCTGACACAACCATAATCGCCTGCAATTTACCAGGTAAAGGACAGTTTGAACTGGCTGAGGGGCAACAGCCTTAAGTTTGGCTGTGGACTAAGCAATTGACTAAAATTGGTTTAATAAAGACATTTTGCATAGCATCTTGCATGAGTTCGGAACTTCTCAAAGCACTTTATAGCCAAGAGTGTTACCAGTGACCTACAGCTGACTTCGTAACTCCCTGAAGCTATTTGTAACAAAAGATGAGAGAATTCTTAACCCTAAGGAAAACATGGGGTTAGAGAACTGTGTTAGTTGGTCTTTAAGATAAGAGTGCAAAGGAAATTTGAAAACATATCTAATTTTAATTTTTTCCCCTTAAAATGTTTGTAAATTGACTGCTAGGACAAGGCAGTTTTTGGGTGAAAAACTGCTGTTCTGCTGATAGGCTGGTTCCCTTACAAGTGCTCCTGATTAGATTTGATTCTGGTTCAAAGATTTTTGCAGGACTCATAAGGAAGACCGTGTATATCTCAGTTTCTTAATAAGTGACTTGTTTTGTGTGTTGTTCCAGCTGCAGGTCTTAATTCAAGTTCCAATCACCAGGATTTTCAGCAAGGCGAACAGGGTTCCTCACATGATGGAATTGGTCTCCTGACAGCAGCAATGCAGATCAAGGTTGGATAAACTTAAAATCTCTAGTATCTGGATCAGATGCTTATTTGCCTCCAGTTCTATATCTTAATTCCAGAGAGTGGAGAAATGGGAAGTGAAGATTTTTTTTCCCCGTCATGGTGATCTGCATACTTAATAAATATACATTACTGGTGTCTGAAATAACAGCTTTGAGTAGGACACTATATTTCTATAGATCTTTTTTGAAAACATGCAAATATTCATGACATTTGAAAGAAGGTGGTTATGAACTTAGACATTTAAAAGTGCAAAAACAAAGTTGCTGGAAAAGCTCAGCAGGTCTGGCAGCATCTGGAGGAGAAAGCAGAGTTAACGTTTCGGGTCTGGTGACCCTTCCTCAGAACTGAGATGGCTGGGAAAACGCAAGTTTAAATGCAGAAAATAGGGAGGTGGGTAGGGTAGGGACTAAACGATAGGGTAGAACCCAAAGAGAGAAAGACAGTTGGACAGACAAAGGAGTTGCTAATGATCAGGCTGGGAGGGTGAATAGTCGTTAATGGGGACTGTTAGTGACTAACAACAGTGGGTGTGTAGTGGCAGGCTATGTGGTAACAAGGCCTGGTGTGTGGGGTGGGGAGCTGGCACACGGGAGAGTTTCGGCCCTGAAATTATCGAACTCCATATTGAGTCCGGAGGGCTGTAGGGTCCCCAAGCGGAAAATGAGGTGTTGTTCCTCCAGCTTGCGCTGGGCTTCACTGGAGCACTGTAGCAAGCCGGAGACAGAGATATTGGCCAGGGAGCAAGGTGGTGCATTGAAGTGGCAGGCAACAGGTAGTTCAGGGTCTTTTTTTGCTAGCAGAACGTAGATGTTCTGTGAAGCGGTCGCCAAGTCTACGCTTCGTTTCCCCAATGTAGAGGAGACCACATTGTGAGCAGCGAATGCAGTAGACTAGATTGTTGGAAGTGCAGGTGAAGTGTTGCTTCACCTGGAAGGTATGTTTGGGATCTTGGATACTGGGGAGGGAGGAGGTAAATGCGCAGGTGTTGCGCCTTCGCCGGTTACAGGGGAAGGTGCCGTAGGGCTGTGGGGAGGTGTTGCGGGTGAAGGAAGTATGGACCAGGGTGTCCCGGAGGGAACAGTCCCTGCGGAAGGAGGGGAGGGGAAGGGAATATGTGTCTGGTGGTGACATCTTGCTGGAGGTGGCGGAAATGGCGTCTGATGATCTTCTGGATGTGGATGCTGGTGGGATGGTAGGTGACATTTCTGTCTCCATTTCTGGGGAGACTGGCCACTAATATCCATTACAAACCCACCGACTCCCACAGCTACCTGGACTATACATCCTCACACCCCACTTCCTGTAAAGACTCCATCCCATTCTCTCAGTTCCTCCGTCTCCGTCGCATATGTTCAGATGAGGTCAACTTCGACAAGGGAGCCTCCGAAATGTCCACATTCTTCCTCAACTGAGGATTCCCCAGCTCCGTTGACAACAGGGCCCTCAATCAGGTCCAACCCATCTCCCGCACTTCTGCCCTCACCCCTCCTCTTCCCTCCCGCAACAGCGATAGGGTTCCCCTACCATCCCACCAGCATCCACATCCAGAAAATCATCAGATGCCATTTCCGCCACCTCCAGCAAGATGTCACCACCAGACACATATTCCCCTCCCCTCCTTTCCCTTGTCCGCCTTCCGCAGGGACTGTTCCCTCCGGGACATCCTGGTCCATACTTCCTTCACCCGCAACACCTCCCCACAGCCCTACGGCACCTTCCCCTGTAACCGGCGAAGGCGCAACACCTGCGCATTTACCTCCTCCCTCCCCAGTATCCAAGATCCCAAACATACCTTCCAGGTGAAGCAACACTTCACCTGCACTTCCAACAATCTAGTCTACTGCATTCGCTGCTCACAATGTGGTCTCCTCTACATTGGGGAAACGAAGCGTAGACTTGGCGACCGCTTCACAGAACATCTACGTTCTGCTCGCAAAAAAGACCCTGAACTACCTGTTGCCTGCCACTTCAATGCACCACCTTGCTCACTGGCCAACATCTCTGTCTCCGGCTTGCTACAGTGTTCCAGTGAAGCCCAGCGCAAGCTGGAGGAACAACACCTCATTTTCCGCTTGGGGACCCTACAGCCCTCCGGACTCAATATGGAGTTCGATAATTTTAGGGCCGAAACTCTCCCGTGTGCCAGCTCCCCACCCCACACACCAGGCCTTGTTACCACATAGCCTGCCACTACACACCCCCTGTTGTTAGTCACTAACAGTCCCCATTAACAACTATTCACCTCCCAGCCTGATCATTAGCAACTCCTTTTGTCTGTCCAACTGTCTTTCTCTCTTTGGGCTCTATCCTATCGTTTACTCCCTACCCCACCCACCTCCCTATTTCTGCATTTAAACTGACGTTTTCCCAGCCATGATCAGTTCTGAGGAAGGGTCACCAGACCCGAAACGTTAACTCTGTTTTCTCCTCCACAGATGCTGCCAGACCTGCTGAGCTTTTCCAGCAACTTTGTTTTTGTTCCTGATTTACAGCATCTGCAGTTCTTTTGGTTTTCATTTAAAAGTGCAACCTAGTTTGCTTAGTTGAGGGTAGATTGTATAGACAGTGTGATAGACATAAGATACAGTGATGTAGTTGCATCACAGGCAGAAAGGTGACCACCAGGAGAGGCAGGCAAGTAGTGTAGGAGTCTCCTGTGGCCATTCCCTTCTCAAACAGGGATACTGTTTTGGATATTGATGTGGGGAGGTGATAGCCTGTTAGGGGAGTGCAGCAGCAGCAGCTAGGCCTGAGGCACCACGACTGGCTGTACTGTAGAGATGGGCCCGGCAAAGTTCAAGCAAGTGTTAGTATTGGGGGACTGGCCAGTCAGGGGCACAGGAATTTCTGTGGCTGTGATTGAGATTCCAGGATGGTATGTTGCTTCCCTGGTGGCAGGGTCAAAGATATTTCTGAGCGGCTGCATGAAATTCTTAAGGAGGGGGTGAGCAGCCAGAGGTCGTAATACACATTGGTACCAACAACACTTGTGGGAAAAGAGATGAGTCCTGAAAAGTGATTATAGGGAGTTAGGCAGATAGTTAAAATTCACGACCTCAAGGGTAGTAATCTCTGGACTATTTCTGGTGCCACGTGTTGGTAAGAGTAGGAAAAGGAGGATTTGGCAGATGAATGCGTGGCTTGCGGGTTGGTGCAGGGGGCAGGATTTCAGATTCTTGGATTATTGGGATCTCTTCTGGGGTAGAGGTGACTTGTACAAGAGGGATAGGTGCACCTGAACTAAAGGGGAACAAATATCCTGGTGGGAAGATTTGCTAGAGCCACTCGAGAGGGTTTAAACTAGTCTGGGGGAGGTAGGTGGAATCCAAAGCAGTAGGGAGATGAAAGAGAAGGTCGAGGACAGTACAGAAGTTAATGAGAGCAAGTTAAATAGTAAAGACAATGTTGGTAATCCTAGTACCAGACAAGGCAGACTAGCACAACAGGAAGCAAGAGAAGTCTGGGTTAAACTGCATTTATTTCAATGCTGGAGGCCTGACAGGTAAGGCGAATGAACTCAGCGCATGGATGGGTACATGGGACTGGGATATTGGAGCTATTACAGAAACGTGGCTGAGGGAGGGGCAGGACTGGCAGCTCAATGTTCCATAGTACAGATGCTATAGGAAGGATAGAAGGGGAGGCAAAAGAGGAGGGAGAGTTGTGTTTTTGATTAAGAAGTACATTGTGGCAATACTGAGAGAGGACATTCTTGAGGGTTCATTCACTGAGTCTGTATGAGTTGAACTGAGAAATAAAAAGGGGAGATCACTTTGAAAGTATTGTGCTACAGGCCCCCCAATAGTAAGTGGGAGATTGAGGAGCAAATATGTAAGGAGATCGCAGAGAGCTGCAATAATAATAGATTTGTCATGGTAGGGGATTTTAACTTTCCTAACATCGACTGGGACTGCCACAGTGTAAGGACTTGGATGGAGAGAAATTGATCAGAACATAGTGTAAGAAAAAGAAACAGAATTCAGCCTATGCAGCTCCCTGAGAGACCAAAAATCTATCTATCTCAACCTTAGGTATACTCAATGATGGAATATTTGCAATCCTCTTGGGGTAGAACATTCCAAAGATTCACAACCTTTTCACATTAGAAATTTCTCTATATCTTGGCCTTAAATGATTGATTCCTTGTCCTGTGATTGTGCCCTGGTGTTCTAGATTCTCTAGCCAGAGGCTATGTTCTCTCAGTTTGTACCTTGTGATGACCCTCAAATGTTTCAACGAGACCACAACATTCCCTTCCTAATGGCAACGTGGGTGATTCTATAGCATGTGGACAGCAGCAGTTCAAGAAGGCAGTTCAGCACCATCTATTCAAGGGTGCTAACGGTGGGCAATAAATGCTGGCCAGCCAGTGATGCCCAGATCCCATGAGTGAATTTTAAAAAAGCTATTGTTATTATAAGATGCCTTTTGTAACACATCATTGCAAAAAGACAGGTTTCACCTTTTTGTAAGTGGGATACAAAAGTGTTTCAGAAATAATTGGTGTAACTGTTAACACACAGGTTTTTATGGGCTTGATTAATGTTTTCAGTCTTTAAATAATTTATTGGTATACTTCATATAGAATACAGTTGAAAGCAGTGCCAGATGGCTAAAACAGCAACAGCACAAAAAATGGAATCTTCGACCTCTCAAATTGCAGCCCATCTCCCCTGTTCCCAGGTAAGCATTCGAAACTCATTTACCTTCAATCCCTCTAGTTCGTAAAACTTCCCACTATTAACTTTTTGTGATTAGATTGGACAATGTTGGAAGTACTTTCTTTTGGTGTATGCGCATGTGCACATTTTAGTTATAAATCAGAACTCATTTGCTGGTCTTAATTCTTCACACAATGTTGTCAGTGACATTGAGATATCCAGAGCGCAGACTCCAAAACCGATTGATGTCCTAGCCAAAGAGATTGGCCTGCGCCAGTCAGAAATGGAAGCCTACGGCAGTAATAAAGCGAAAGTCAAATTATCTGTCTTGGACAGACTGAAGGAACAGCCGGATGGAAAATACATATTGGTTGCCGGGTAGGAACACTTTTTTTATTTTATCTTAATGCCTGTTGGTATGAAGCCTTGGTATGAAGATCAATGTTAGTGCTTCTAAAGTATGTATGCTAACACTTCAGCCCTTCAGGGAAGATTGAATGGACTGGGACTCTTTTTCTCTTGGAAAGAGAAGCTTGAAGGAGGTCCTAATAGAGGTCTGTAAAATCATAAAATTCTCCTTATTGTCGATATGGAGATGTTCCTGCTAGTGGGTAAGACCAAAGTTAGATACCATAAATATGAGAGAGTCATTAATAAATTCAGTACGGCATTAATGAGAAGCTAATTTATTTGAGTAGTAACAATGTGGAACTCTCTACCATGTGACTAATGCATTAAGTGGAAAGATAGAAAGGTAATGCTGGTAATACTATGTAAAATGGATATGTAATACTTTAGCCAAGAAACGAAAGCAATTACATATTTGTATTCACATCAGGCTGTGGTGTTTTAGGTGCTCCACTTACTGCAGGCAGAAACAGCTGTTCCTACTCACTGATTCATACTCCTCAGGTGCTACATGCATACTTCTAATTGATATGAAGTTACACTTTCTAAGTAACTGCAACTTAAATCTAGTTGCATATTAAAGAAGAGCTGGATATAACCAAGCAAAAGGTCACAGCATAGAAGGAACATCTATTGTTGTTCAAACAAAGAACAGAAATTGTTAGAGAAACTCCGCAAGCCTGGCAGCATCTGTGGAGACCTGAGTTTCTCCAGCAATTTGTTTTTTGTTTGTTTCACATTTCCAGCATTTGCAGATCTTTGTTTTATCATTGATGTTCAGTCAAATTTAATGATTAAGCAAACTACTGCATGACAAGAATGTGTACAGCAGCTTTGACACACCGAAACCACTCAGTGCTTTCACAGGAGCACTTAAAGAAAAAAAATTTGGCACCTATCCAAATAAATAGAATTGATGGAGTATTTTAAGGGAGGCAAAGGAGTTTAGGGTAGGAATTCCAGAGCTTGGGGCCACAGCAACTGAAGATGCAACCACCATTGAAGGGATGATTGGGATGCACAAGCTGACAGAAATAGAGGAACTCTGATATCAAAAAGGTTTGTAGAGGCAGGAGGCCATTACATAAATGAGGTGGAGTGAACCTACAAAGGTATTTAAAAACAAAAGTGGGAAGCTGAAATCAATATGTTGCTTAACTGGGAGCTAGTATAGCCCGGTGAACACATTGTTGAGTGAGCTGAATTTGGTTAGAATTAGGATATGGGCAACAAAGATTTGGATATCGTCAAGTTAATGGAAGGTAGAATCTGGTAGATAGGCCAAGAATGTATTGGGATGGTCATTTCCAGAGACAAAAGAGTCTTGAATACCCTGAACAAGTCCACTATAAACCTGGATGCCAGGCACTTTAGTACAGCCAGGCAACTTGATAATGTTCCTTATAAATGAAAATTCAGGTACCGGGATGGTTGCAGGTAAGAGATAAAACTGAGGTCTAGGGCTGGAGCAAAGATTTGGCTGAAATTGTTCATTGAATGAACCATGATATCTTTCCGTGCTGTGCCTTTCATTCTTAATGTTGAAATAAGATTGTTTTAGAAGGTTGCCTAGTTTTGATTTGATTGCCCGTTGCTTTGCTGATTGTTGCGTATATAATATAACTTGGGTGAGAGGGGATGCATCAATCTTATTACTTTTTGTTCCCCATGTTGTTGAATCGGGTACTAATGTACTTTTCTCACTGTGTAATCTGAGTCTCTCAGGACATGTTAGAGAGGTAAGCAACGGTCTCCTCCCAACATCTGTCTAATTAAGTTTTTTTTTTGAGTCAGTAGCCAGTATAAACTATGATTTTCAGTGCAGTTTCAGGGGGATATGTAGTGTACTTGGTGTATGTTTAAGTGGCAGAACAGCTTGAGAAGAATATCGAATCCTTGGCATTTAAACAGTGCCATTGAGTAAAAAGGACTAACATTATTCTAAGCCTTTATAAATCACTGGTTGGTCATGAAGGGTCTAGGCCTGAAACATCAGCCTTTCTGCTCCTATGATGCTGCTTGGCCTGCTGTGTTCATCCAGCCCTGTACCTTGTTGTCTCGGTTAGTCATCAGTTGGCCCTATTGTGTTCAATTCTAGACAACAGATTTTAGGAAGGATGCCAAGTTCTCGAGGATACACAAGAGATTTAGTAGATTGGTACCAAGGATAGAAAGTACGTTTTTGACATGCAGTCACAATTGTAATGTTGGAATTGCACAATTAGTTTGCATGACAAGGTCCCACAAACAATGCAGTGCCTCATAACTTTTTCTTTGTGATGTTGGTTCAAGGATAAACATTAGTAGCTGGCAAGAATTATCCTGCCCTTTGAATTTTTTAACGGGATCTTTCATGTCCACCTGAGAAAGCAAATGTGGCTCGGTTTACCATTTCATCTGAAAGATGAAAGCACGGCACAGGACTTGGCTTCGGTACTACACTGGAGTGTCAGCCAAGATTTCGTGTTCAAGTATCTGGGTTTCCTTCTTACTTGCTTTCTTCCTTTTCCTGTCCGTCCCTCTCCCTCCTTACCCCTCTCTCTCACTTTTGCACCCTATTCAGAAATCAGTAGTCTCTTCTAATTCTTAATTTCTCCTAATTCTACCCTCCTTTGCTAACATAAACCACTTTCATGTTACTTCTGCTGCTAAACTGCATCTCTGAGCTATCTGCTTTCTCCTGCAACTGAACTGAAGTGAGGAAGAAATAGTGACTTCATTGGATGTGTCAAACAAATTGCTTAATTTACAAAGTATGAGTCATTGCTGTGTTTTTTACAGAATTACACCAACTCCTCTAGGAGAGGGGAAGAGTACAGTGACAATGGGATTGGTTCAAGCATTAGTGGCCCATCAAGGTGTTAATGCCTTTGCTTGTGTGAGACAACCATCTCAGGGACCAACATTTGGTGTTAAAGGTAAGCAGCTTACAATAAATTTTGCTAATAGGTAGTTCATAGAATCTTAACATAGAATCATAGCATCTCTACAGTGTGGAAACAGGCCGTTCAGCCCAACAAGTCCACACCGACTCTCCAAAGAGCATCCCACTCAAGCTCAACCCATCTACCACATCCCTGTAACCCTGCATTTCCCATGGCTAATCCACCTCACCTACACACTATGGGCAATTTAGTATGGCCCATCCACCTAAACTGCGCATCTTTGGACTGTGGAAACCCATACAGACACGGGGAGAATGTGAAAACTCCACACAGTTGCCCGAGGCTGGAATTGTACCTGGGTCCCTGGTGCTGCAAGGCAGCAGTGCTAACCACTGAGCGAGTACATTATTTCCTCTATGAATCAGATTAATGTGGAATTGTTCATTCACCAGATGGCCATGAATGATTCAAGTCTGAGTAATACAACTCAAGTAGCAGTTTCTTTGGATGATCTTCTGCTTACCTTTTGGTATGTCTGGAGAATCTTGCTTTTGAAGATACTGCTGTGGTTCTGTTGGTTCATAAATAAGTTTGCTGTTTTACTGTGGAAAGAAGTAAAGTTGATGCTTATTATCTCAGCAGAGTCTACATTGGTTGAGTTTTAGATCTTCGTTTTGTAATGCATTCTTGTTGAAAGTTGTAGTTTCAAGGTTGTTCCAGAGACTTGACTGACACTCCCAGCACAGACAGAGAGAATGCTGAACTGTCATGAGTGGCATCTTGTTGATGGGGTGTAAAATCAAAACCAGAACCACAACTACTCCCTCAGATGGACCTAAAAGATCCCACGGATCATTTGAAAATGATCAACGGTGTTTGCTGTGGTGGGTTGAGTAATGTTTATGCTTTGCCCAAAAGAGATCATTTAATTTCTTTATTTGCTGTATGAGGGAACTTGCTCTTTGCAAATTGGCTGCTATGTTTTCATTTTTTAATTCACTCATGGGATGTGGGTGTTGCTGGCTGGCCAGCATTTATTATCCATCCCTAGTTGCCCTTGGGAAGGTGGTGATGAGTTGTCTTTTTGAACTGCTGCAGTCCATGTTTTGTGGTGGACCCACAATGCTGATAGGGAGGAATTTCCAGGATTTTGACCTAGCAACAGCGAAGGAATGCTGATACATTTCCAAGTCAGGACAGTGAATGGCTTGGAGGGGAACTTGCAGGTGCTGGTGTTCCTATTTAGCTTCTGCCCTTCTTCTCCTAGAAGAAGGTCGTAGGATTCAAAAGTGCTATCTGAAGATTTTTGGCAAATTTCTGTAGGGCATCGTGCAGATGATACACACTGCTGCTACGTAGTACCATTCAAGAAGGCTGCTTTGTCCTTGATAATGTCAAACTTCTTGTGTATTGTTGGAGCTGCACTCATCCAGGCAAATGGGGAGTATTCCATCGCACGGCTGACTTGTGCTTTGTAGATAGTGGACAGATTTTGGGGAGTCAGGAGGTGAGTTATTTGCTGCAGGATTCCTAGCCTCTGACCTACTCTTGTAGCCACTGTTTGTGGTGAGTCCAGTTGAGTTCCTGGTCACTGGTAACCCTGATGATGTTGATAGGGGATTCAGTGATGATAACACCATTGGATTTCAGTGAGCTGTGGTTAGGTACCTTTTGTTTATTCATTTTTTTTGTAGGATGTATACGTCGCAGGCTGGTCTATATTTATTGCCTGTTCCTAGTTGCCTTTGAAAAGGTGGTGGTGAGCTGCCGCCTTAAACCACTGTAGCGCACTGCTGTGGGTTTACCCACAATGCATTTTGGGAGGGAATTCCAGGATATTGACCCAGTGACAGTGAAGGAATGGTGATATATTTCCAAGTCAGCATAGTGAGGGGCTTGGAGGGGAACTTGAAGGCTGTGGTGTTTCCATGTATCTGCTGTCCTTGTCCTTCCAGACAGAAGTGGTCGTGGGTTTGGAAGGTGCAGTCTGAGGATCTTTGGTGAATTTCTGCAGTGCATCATGTAGATAGTATGGCCTGCTATTACTGTCAGTGGTGGAAGCTTTTGGATGAAGTGCCAATCAAGCACGCCACTTTATCCTGAAAGGTGTCAAGCTTTTTGTGTTGTTGAGCTGCACCCATCCAGGCAAATTGGGAGTATTCCATCACGTTACTGACTTGTGCCTTGCAGATGATGGAATATTGGGGAATAAGGAAGTGAGTTACTCATGGCAGTATTCCTAGTCTCTGACCTGCTCTTGTAGCCACTGTGTTTGTGGTGAGTACATTTGAGTTTCTGGTCAATGGCTACCCCCAGGATGTTGCCAGTGGGGGATTCAGTGATGGTAACACCATTGAATGTCAAGGGGCATGGTTAGATTGCTTCGTATTGGTGATGTTCATAGCCTGGCATTTGTGTGGCAAGTAACATTCATGCCATACTTGTCGGCCCAAGCCTGGCTATTGTCCAGATCTTGTTGCGTTTGAACGTGGACTGCTTTAGTATTTGAGGAGTTGTGAATGCAACTCATCAGTGAACATCCCCAATTCTAACCATAAGATGGAGGGAAGATGATTGAAGTAGTTGAAGTTGGTTAGGTCTAGGGCGTTACCCTGAGGAACTCCTACAGAGATGTCCTGGAGCTGAGATGACTGACCTCCAACAACCATGCCTATCTTCCTCTCTATCCGGTATGACTCCGATCAGCAGAGTTGCCCCCTTAAACCCATTGATTTCTGTTTTGTTAAGCCTCCTTGCTGCCCTACTAAGTCAAATGCAACCTTGATGTCAAGGGCTATCATTCTCTCCTCACCTCTGGAATTCAGCTCTTTTTTTTTTTAGTTCGTGTTTGAACCAAGGCTGTAATGAGGTCAGAAGCTGAGTGGCTCTGGTAGAACACAAACCGGGTGTCACTAAACAGGTTATTGCCAAGCAGGTGCTGCTTGATTGCACTGCTGATGACATATTCCATCACTTTACTGAGAGTCAAAGTAGACTGACGGGTGGTAATTGACTGGGTTGGATTTGTCTTGATTTTTATGTACAGGACATACCTGGGCAATTTTCCACGTTGGGTAGATGCCGTTGTTTTAACTTAACTGGAAGAGCCTGGTTATTGGAGCAGCAAGTTCGAGAGCGCAGTCTTTAGTAGTATTGCTGGAATGTTGTCAGGGCCAGTAGCCTTCATGTTATCCAATGCCTCCAATTGTTTCTTGATATCACGTGGAGTGTATCGAATTGACTGATGACTGGTAACTGTAATGCTGTAGACCACTGGAGGAGGCCAAGATGGATCATCCACTAGGCACTTCTGGCTGAAGATTGCTACAAATGCCTTTTGCACTGATGTGCAGGGTTCTTCCATTATTGAGGATGGGGATATTTGTGGAACCAACTCCTCCAGTGAGTTGTTTAATTGCCTACGATTATTCATGACTGGAGGTGGCAGGACTGCAGAGTTTAGGCATGATCTGTTGGTTGTGGGATTGCTAAATTCTGTCTGTCACGTGCTGCTTAGGTGGTTTGGCATGCAAGTAATCCTGTTTGGTAGCTTCACCTGGTTGATACCTCATTTTCAGGTATGCTTGATGCTGCTCTCGGCATGCTCTCCTGCCCTGTCCATTGAACCAAGGTTAATCCCCTGGCTTGATGGTAATGGTTGAGAGGGGAATATGCTGGGCCATGAGTTTACAGATTGTGTTGGAGTGCAATTCTGCTTCTGTTGATGGACCACAACGCCTCAGATGTCCAGTTTTGAGTTGCTGGATCTGTTCAAAGTTTGTCCCATTTAGCACAGTGATAGTGCCACACAACATGATGGAAGTTATTCTCCATGTTAAGGTGGGACTTCATCTCCCCAAGGACTGTGTGGTTGTCACTCTTAACAATACTGCAGAGGCATCTGCAGCTGGCAGATCGGTAAGGATGAGGTCAAGACTGTTTTTCCTTTTTGGTTCATTCACCACCTGCTGCAGACCCAATCTCGCAGCTGTGTCCTTTAGGATCCAACCAGCTTGATCAGTAGTACTGTTGCCGAGCCATTCTTGGTGATGGACATCGAAATCACGCATTCAGAGTACATTTTGTGCCCTTGCCATCCTTGATTCCTCCAAGTGTTGCTCAACATGGAGGAGTACCAATTCATCAGCTGAGGGAGGATGGTATGTGCTAATCAGGAGGTTTCCTTGCCCATGCTTAACCTGAAGCTGTGAGACTTCATTGGATCCCAGGGTTCAATGTTGAGGACCCCAGAGCAACTCCCTGCCAACTGTATATCACATCTTGTGCGTCTGTCCTGCTGGTGGGACAAGATATAATCGGGGATGGTGATGCTGATGTCTGGGACATTGTCTGTAAGGTATGATTCCATGAGTATGACCACGTCAGACTGTTGCTTAACTGGGCTGTGAGACAGCTCTCCTAATTTTGGCACTAGCCTCAGATGTTAGTCAGGAGGACTTTGCAGCGTCCACAGGACTGTTTCTCCCCTTGTCTTATCTGCTGCCTGGGTGTGTTCTGTCTGATTAAATTTCTTTGAGAATCAACCGCATTGCTGGTTCTAGAGTCACGTGTAGGCCAGACCAGGTGAGAATGGCAGATTTCCTTCCCTGAAGGATATTAGTGAATCAGATGGATTTTTCTGCCAATCGACATGGTTTCATGGTCATCAGTAGATTCTTAATTCCAGGTTTTTTGTCTATTATTGAATCAGATTCCATCATCTGCCATGGCAGGGTTCAAACCCAGGTCCCTAGAACATTAGCTGAGTTTCTGGACTAAAAGTCTAGTGATAATACCATGAGGCCATCGCCTCCCCTGCAAGACTCTGCAAGATGGTTATTGCCTGGCATTTGTGTGGTGCAAATGTTCGTTGCCATTTGTTCTAATGTACTCATACATTTTCGATGTATAGTCAAGTTATGGACAGACCACCTCTTGAATCTCTATAGCAATTTGTTACAAACGACTAGGGCAGTTGAGTCAGCAATGCTGATGGGCGGTCATGTCACATGCAAGCCTGATTGAGTAAGGATAGCAGGTTTGCTTTCCCAAAGGACTTTTGTGATGCCATTGGATTTTCATGAGGATGTAACAGCTTCATGATCACTTTTGCTGATACCATCTTTTGTTTCTAGGTTTAAAAGTTGATTTAAAAACAGAAATTGCAGGAGAAACACAGTCAGTCTGGTATTATCTGAATTAATGTTTTGTGTCAAGTGACTTTTTTTGAGCTGCTACTAGCTTGGTAAAGATGATATTTGTAACGGAGTAGGAGTTTGGGGGTTATGGGGGAGGAGAAGGAGTAAACAAATAGGTGGATTTGGAGCTCAGAGAGAGAAAGTAAAGTTAGGCGCAGAAAGAATGGTTGATAGTAAGCTAGGGAAAGAAAAAAGCTGATAATGGGTACTAAGAGTAGGTGAAAATGGGTTGGCTCTGCTGAAAGCTGCTCATGTCGTGACAGTGCTGGGAAGTGGTTTTGGGCGTGGGTAAAGAGTATGGAAGGTCGTGTTCAAGCTCTAAAATTATTGATTTTGATATTAAGCCCTGAAAGCTGCAGGATCCCCAAGTGGAAGATAAGATGCTGTTCTTCCAGATTGCAAAGCCTTGCTAGAGCACAGCAGCAGGCCTGAGACACAAATGTTGGTCAGGAAACAGTAGTGTGTTAAGTGGTAGACAACTGGAAGCTCGGGGCCATTTTTATGGACAGAGCATAGAGGTTCTGCAAACAGGTCACCCAGTCTGAATTTCTTCTGTCCAGTGTAGAGAAGATTACGTTGTGCCAGTGAACACTGGACTGGATTGACTGAATATAACTGAAGCAATGATTGCCTTTGAACAGGTGGAGCTGCAGGA